TCTCGAGGGAGGCAAATATTGACGACATGACGCCTGAGAGTAGCTACGATCGTTTGACAAACTGCGGTGAGTTGGCTTATCTGATATTCCACGTGGAACACTGTGTGACGGGCACTGACGAGAAAATTGCCCAATGCCTCCGCAATTGAAGCAGGTATTCTTTATTACCGTCCATCCCGGACGAGGGGACTGCCGATCCCTCGACTGCTGAGAGAACTGAGCGCGCGTCGGAGTGAAGGCCTCATAGTTTGGGCGCCTGAAATTTTGTCCTGTCGCCGCCGCAGCCTTCACTTCCATTGTCTGGCCCGGTTGAGAGGGTCTTATAAGGCGATCGGCGGTGGCTTCAGCCAAGAGCCGCTCCACCATTTGTGCTTGCTTTTGCGAGGGCCTGCTCAAAAGTTGCTGGGTAATCGAGTTTCACATAATAACGGATGTCGGGCCGCAGCCTTGCTACGAATNCCGCTCCACCATTTGTGCTTGCTTTTGCGAGGGCCTGCTCAAAAGTTGCTGGGTAATCGAGTTTCACATAATAACGGATATCAGCTGCAGCTTTGCTACAAACTCCTCGACGACCCTATCCTTGTGACTAGCAGGGTCTTGCCCTGAGGTGGCTGCTCGCACCAATAGCAAAATCTATTAGTGAAACTAGACACCGACTCGCCAGTCTGCTGCTGACAAGAAGAAAGGGCCTGGCGAGCCGCATGACGGTGTTGGGGCCCCTCATAGGACTTTTCAGGTGCGCTACCACCTGGGCATAATCTTTGCGTTCGTCGTCCGATAGTACTTCCACCTTCTCTTGGGCTACCCATCCAAGAAGCCTGTTAGAAAGTAGGCTTTTGTTGAGATGTCCATGTAGTGGACATCTCAACAAAAAGCCCCTCCCCAGAAGCCGAGAAGGTGATGATTCGCGGGAACGGACCATTCGAGCTCACCACTGCGACTAGAGGCGTCGATGCGTTCTCCTAGGGCCGCAAAAGATTTGTTCAAGTCCGAGAGCAAGCTTGATTACCCTTGTTGATGGTCTGAGCTAGCTTCGTCGCCCAGGCACGGGCTTCCTTCGCATCCCTACCTCGAACCGTGGCGCGATCGTCCGACTGCCAGCCTTCCCGCCATGTTGGCAGATACTGGCATCTCACGAAAATACACATCTTAAAAGGCGAGGGTCTCTCTTGAACGTGTAAGAGAGTGGGCGGGGCCAGCCAATAGGAGAGCGATAACGTAATCCCAATGTGGGATTTTTCCCAGAGCTTTAAAGTTTTTCATCCATTTCTCTGAGAACAAGCTGATTCATGCTGGCGGTAAAGATGTTTAAGCTTGGAAATGATAGCAAAGAATCAATACATCCAAAAGAAGCCTGTTCCCAGATCGTTCTATCAGGGGCTCAATCTCTGACGATGCTGGGAACTTAACATTGTAAGAAACAAAGAGATGGTATGAAGCATGGGACAGAGATAGTCATTATATCGAGAAATATTTAGCTGGCTATGATGCTTGAAAGGCATAGAGACGAAGAGCATGTTATGAGGTGGAAATTATCATAGACTTGATGAAGCACAGGTGAAAGTCTCTGAATAATAAAAAAAAGAAGGTGAGCAACGCCAAAAATGGGCAACGAATAAGCGCAAAAAGTGGAAGGAGACTGTTACTCACCTTGTGCCAGAAGGCAAGAAACAGATGCTGCGGGTCCTAGTTCTGGTGGTTATCTCCTTCATTGAGTCGGTAAGTAGTCACGCGGCGCACTCGATGGACTCACCATATGTGGTCAAAGGATCGCGCCGCCAATGACAATACTCCATAAATTGCCAGCAGGCGATGCGCTCTCGTTAACTGCAACTTGAGGGGCCAAGAAACCAACTCTTGCTACGGTTGGGGACTTTCCAATTGGCGAGGATTACTTGCAGACTGGTTTTGAAAACGGACGGAAAAAGGTCCTTCTAAGTGGAATCCGAGGTAAAAGCTCCGCCTAGCTAAAAGATGACATGACTCATAATTTTTTTGAATGTGTGCGTTTCCGGAAAAACTCATCAGCTGAACAAAATAGTGCTGAGTGCTACTATTGATAGGCCTATCGCACACTTCCTGGAGCCGTCAACAACACAATTTAACGTCCCTGAAACACCACATTTCGTACGAATCACACCAACGCATTACGTGGATGCAGCGATACTCGGCCCACTCGAAATCGTAGGGTACTCCACGTAACCTCAAGACAACCTGGGACGAACATCATTGCTTTCACTCACGTTGTCTTCCTATAGGATAAACTAGGGCGCCCGTTTTAGACCCCTGTCGCGAGTAGAATATGTTATCATGGTAAAAAAAAGGTCGTTCGCGATGACATGGACTACCGTACTTAACCCACTCGCAGATGGAACTTCATGACTTGCAAAAATCCGTTACGGCTTATTCCTGGTCCAGAGTCCATCCGGAGAGCGAAGAAGTGGCTGAAAACGAGTGCAGCTGACAGCTGGACACGAACGGGCCCACTCGTATCCATGCCACACGCGCGAAGCTGCCTAAAAAACTACCTGGCCACTAACTTACCCCAACAGCGAGGGGGAACCACTTGCTGCTACCATTAAGCTCGCGCGCACAGCGGATCGTGCTTCACGATTGCTTCTGTGGAGAAACTGTTAATTAAGACTAGTTTATCTGTAAATTGTCCAACATAGGTCATAAATGCAATACAGCCAATAAAAGCATCCAATGGAATGGAATAATACAAAAGGCATAGGCAGAAATACGCACAGAGGGAGATCATTCCGATGGGAAATGGTAGTCGTAGCCAGGGCTTCGCATGTATACATGGACTCCTGTCGTTCTTTTGAACACTTTTCTAACGGAAAATTTTTTTCAGATGCGCCTTTTTGTGCGGTGCCTTTCCGAAATGTTGCATAAATATGTGTTAACAATGTGTGCAAGTATAACGGCAATATCAGGGAGTGTAGGGTGTCCGAACGCACAGCACATGATCGTTCAAGCACTATCGTAGAGAAGATTTCAATCTTTAAAATTATTGAAGGCTGGTGGAGGTGGACCCTGGGCAAGCTATGCGTTATCCAGCGCAAGTCTTGGATGTTCATTTTAGCATCACTGCTTATCACGTCATCAATTGGGCAAGGTTTATATCCCTTGACCCAGGTCGTCATCCCTTGACGGTCATCATGATCTGTGTTCGATGGGATTGCAAGGGAATTATACATTACGGACTACTGCAAAGCAATGTTACCATTACAGCAGGCCTGAACTGTCAGCAGGTAGATAGGTAACCGCCTAAACTGCAGAAAACGTCCGAGTCATGTCACACGATCCGATTCACGACAACGCTCGGCCATACACCGTAAAAGTGAGTCGCAAGAAGCTTCTCGACTTTGTATAGGGAGTGCTGTCACATCAACCGTATAGCTCAGACCTTGCGCCAACAGGCTACCACCTTTTCCTGTTGCTCTTTAATGCCATGCAAGGGAAAAAATGTTTGCCGATGAAAACGACATGGACCAGTAGTTGAGCAACTTTTTCGAGTCAGAGCCGAAACGGTTTTTTGCAGATGGAATCGAAAGTGTGCCTAAAAAGTGACGAGGAGTGGTAGATCATATTGGTGATTATCTCGTTTCTTAATGTCCTATTGTTTTTAAAACTCAATAGAACTGAATGCCTCAGAAACCGCGAAAACTTTTCCAACAATCCAATACTACACTGTTTTACGACATCCCCCAGCTATAATACATTCATAGTACCGACACCGTGTAGCATAAACTTGCAGATTATTGGGATGAACATGGATGTGATAAAGGATAAAGTCTTGGGGCTTTAATCAATTTCATCTGAGGGATGAGCCTTGCATTCGACTTCCATTCGGAATAGCGATGGATTACTGAATACGTATGTGACATACACAATGACTTGTGGTGGCCAGCTGATGTTCTAGCGAGTGCTTTTATCCTCCCAAACGAGTCTGGTACTGGTAAGTGACCCTGGAGGGATGGATGGTTTAATTGGCCTGAGCGGATATCGATCCGGGATTCAAACCGGTGACATTGCGTGTATGACATGCGCTACTTACCGCTACACCACCTCCGACCATGGATGGGAATCAATGTCAAACAGGAAAGGAACAAGGATCCTTCCCATGAGAAGAAAAGCCGCATCAGCGGAGCAGTCAAATTGGAAGTTGTAATCACTTAATACATGAAAAAAGCGAAATAGAACAGGCATTCTTGGACGCCTGATAAGAAATAAAATCCAGCTCGAAATATCGACCTGCGGTACACCGAGTGACGACCAACGAGCGGCCCATGAATGTCTACTGAATACAGACAGAGACAGATTATCCATGAAGCAGGTAGTACACAAGAAGAGGTGGTGCATTCTGTCAAAGACCACACCAAAAGTTTATCTGAAAAAAAAAGTGAGATTTAAGATTCAGAAGCATATCCACAAGACCCCAACGACCTCATGCCTCCTTCACCCCTCAGCAATGCTCTCACAAGGCAAAAAAAAGTGGAGCACTCAGGACGCCACCGAAAACTAATTTGATAAATCAAGTTCCTACTCCAGGTACAATGATGCTTGAGTCGGGACAGGTCTTCGCGCCTGGAAGAAAAGGTGGGTCCCCAAGAACTCAGGATGAGGGCCTCTGATCACGTTCACAGAATATATATTTCTTTGGCTGAGTGAACCGATGAGATTCAAAGAGCTTATCACCCTTTCGTTGCATGTATATACCCACACCACAAGAATTTCTTATTTCACCTCATTCATTTTCTTATTATTTTACAATAGTTTCCATACATACATTACAACAATTTCATTCGTTATATTAGTATAAGTTTTATATAAATTAATATGCTTAAGTTTATATAACAAACGATTAGTAATGAACAACAACATGAGTTACCAGTAGCTCAATTATCAACAGAAAATGGACCACACCTAACAACCCAACCCTATGCGCAATCCTCATCCAGTGAGGAATCCCTAAAAAAAGCTATTGCGTTTAATCAGTCGTCCTCGAGGAATGATATGGTGCCGACATTGTTCTTCATAAAGCGCTTATACCTTTTATACCTGCAAACGATTATGCTTCAGAACAAGCTGTTTTGAGCAACCGGTATGAGCCGCCAAGAAAATGACGAACCTGCCACTTTGAAGAAGCTTCTCTTGTTCTTCGGCGTCCCTCTCTGCCTTCCACTTCTTAAAATTATCGTGTATCCAAAGCTCGCGTGTCAACATATCGTCGTGTTCCTCATCGGTCATGCACTGAAGATTTAGTTAGAGAACAACTCATGGACCAACCAATAGTGGTTTGGTCTTATTTGTGTTTAAAAAAGGACTGGCAAANAAATGAACTGAAGTTAATATAGTGAGTGATTCAAACCTACATTGAATTGATTTTGACTCATGCCAAGATATTTCCTGATCAGATGCAATTTCGCCTCCTCATCATACTCTTCGCGTTTTATCCAGTATTTAAGTATCCATTTCGCGTACCAGGAGAGATAAACGAAGGCCGTATATGGAAACACTATGCAGTGCCATGCTAGAGTATCATACACAGACTCTTTTTTGTAGCCACCCCTGCAACAAAACGGATACACATGAGTATTCAGTGGAGATACTGCGCCGTCTTGAATAACCACAAGAAGCACAACCTGACGTCCATGTTTTCCTCTATGATGCTTCGTATCACATCTTCATTGTTTTGACCTTTGATCTTTTTCAGCTTCCCTTTATTATCAATTTCAAGGATCTAAAATAATGCACATGTCAGATCGCATTTCGGAAAACTCTGCTGACAATACTATATCGCAAATGGACGGGGACGGTAACTTGCTAGGCAGTGACGAAAATAGTATGAGCGATAGTGAAAAATAAGGCTACTAACGAAGGCACGGCATAAATAGAGAAAAAGGAGTTTCATATGAATATGAGGAGTAAGAAAGACGCACACATTTGCCTTTGCTATCACATTCCCAAGAAAGAGTTTTTTGTAGTCACCATAATGCAGTACAGCTCACGGTTTCGTCAATTCGATAACGTTGTTCATGACCTTCCTGCCTTGTATAGTCGTAGTTTCCCTATCCACTTCTACATACGCTTATAAAAGGATTAAGCTCAAGGCGTGAGAATTGATCGTTACGCTAACTAGTGCCAACCTTGGCATACTCGTGGTGTATATCACATCCAACACAAGTTTTTTATCATAAGATTTTTTTTTCAGAATTGTAACAGCAAAGGTAAATTGCTCAGAGAATTAAGGCCTCACCTAACGTATGGTCGCCACTCAAATTTACCGGAAAACAAAATATTATTAAAAAGTATTTCGAAACTAGAATGAGCTTTGAAGTAGCGAAACTTTCCTACTAGTAATCTGACCACAGAGAAGGGAACTTGTCAGTAAACCTTTAAACTGAAAAACAAAAACTTACTCCTCTTTCTACACCTGCATTGATAGCCATATTACGAAACTTTCCTACAGTTACGGCATAGGCGATGGCTTCGGAGTACTTTTGTTTAGCGCTAAAGTACTGAAAACTGAACAATTAGTCTCTCCAAAAAAAATCATCAAAAGTATCGAGAAACAAGAGGCAGAAGAACGCGGTAGGATATAGCATTGCCTTGTCACGACTGTGCTACCCACCTGGAATAGGGATATGGACAAAATTGTCCCTAGAATAACAAGTCGAACGTCTACTTTGGGAACCATGCGCCGTCGGTAGTACTGGTAGTAGTTGTAGAACCTTCAAAACTACTATTATTTTTTACGTCGTAGACAAAGGAAAAGTCTGTCAAAATGGAGACAGAAAGAAAAGACAGAAAAACAAAAGTCCTATCAACAAAATTTGAAACTAGCCTTTCTTCTGGATGATCCAAGTAGTAATCGTAATCCGCGCGAGTTTGATCATCTTTCAAGGTCTCATAAGCAGTCGCAATCACTCGAAATCGAGCTTCAGCCTCAACCTTCGCGGCCTAGAATATTTAAAAAAATCCGATTGTTGTGAATATTAGCTACCTGATGCACCGATAAATTGTTTTGAATGGCTGATTGGAACTCAAACAGAATTAATATACTCATTCAACTTAGAGATTTTCGAGACCTAAATGCCGCGGCACACACAGAAGAGAATCGAGATCAAGTTGTATCTTTAATGGTAAGCCTTTGACATTTAATGGCTTCGTAAGATTTTAGAGCTTCGAAAAGTACATGTTCTCAGAACAAGGGTGATTCTTGGGGATAACAAAACTGTGGGGATAACAAAACTCTGAAATCGGCTGCGAAATATACCTTATCTTTCACTCTGTCCGGATGAAACTTCTTCGCTAAGGAACGGTAGATTTTAGACAGCTTTGCTCTATCAAAGTCGTCCCGATTTATCTCCAACACTAAAAACAATCATTTCAACTACGAATAAAATGACAGTTATCAAGGAGAAGAAATCCATTGAGTGTAAAGATGCTCTTCCAATATTTGATAACCATAATTTACCATACGATTTATGCAACGTAAAATGTTCTCCTACTCCCCTCATTCTACAATCATCCAATTTCGAACCTGTGCGCCAGAGCGCTTCTTCTAAAATAACGCGCAACTGTTGAACCCGTGACCAGACAGAAAATAACCTCCAACGTACTGATGGGATCTATGGAATGCAACGCATTTTACGAAGCTTGCAACTGCCTAATTGGACGCTTCCTTTGGTTTTTAACCAGACGCACTCCCTGAGTAGTGTTCAATCGAGGTGGTCTGAACGGTGAAAGATGCTTTCCGACGTTTACGTTAGATATGGATGCTCTTCCAGGTATCATAGCGACTAAGATCGTGTAGCTCCGCTTTCTTGTGGTCCTCCATGATCGAATCTTTGGAAATGGGATAATATCAAAAAAAAGATATAATAAAATATATAAAATGAGATTATATAAAGGGCTAAATGGAAAGTCCAGGTGAATTCAAGCAAAATAACAAAACAATTCCAAGTGAATGACTTCTAACCATTGTTAGAAAAACGACTTACCATCATAACAATTTTCCAAGCCACAATATAATTCCTCAGCAAATCCGACAGAGGATACAGGATCATAAAGGCAGAACAATAGGAAAGCAGAAATCCATGCAAAAGACGAGAATGGTGTCATCCAAATTTGAGATCAGTCTGAAAACCTTCATAACATTTCCAAATCTAGGTATTCGGAACAAATGAATCGGACTGCGCTATACGGCTATAACAACAACAAGTTTAAAAAGAATTTCAGTGATAGTTCTCCCACGGGTAACGGCACATTGACATGAAAATGACACCTACTTTCGGCATTGGTGCAATTCAGCAACATGGAAACATGGGAATTACACCTGTTCTCAACAAACAGACTAGACTTACATGTGATGTGAACTCGATGCTAAATCAACATCAGACGTCAATGTGCAATGGTCGAACCAAACCAACCGACGCCGGAATCGTCGACAAGGCCAACATCAAAAATGACTGTATTTTTGTTGTCAGAACAGTGAAGCAGAACTAAAGGTGAAGTCTCAACGAGAAATTTGTTTTTGTTGGGAAACTTGGAGTTGGAACAGTCAAAAAGCCGGACTCGGACTTATTCTCTTATTGGACTTGCAGTGGAAAATTAGCGGGATTAAGTGTTCCGCGACAATTATCCCTTTTCACGCCTGCTTCGTTATGGAACCAGGTCCTCTGCCCCTTCAATCCTTAANGCTTCCGTTTACATTATTAAAGGCTTTTCTAAAACAATGATTGTAAGAGCGGCATGATGGGAAGACGGGCGTTAGGAGCGATTTTGGGTAATCGATTTGCCGCACGCGGCTGTCGCGGACCACTCATTCGCCGTTACTACAGCTCTAGCGTTCTTCATACAGCTCAATCGATATGCGATCATTATGTTATGCATAATTCTACTATTAGTACTTTTGTTCTTGTATTTCTTACCTACTGCTGCATCCTGCTACACTCCTTCGCGCGCGACGCCCCTCTCACCGCGACGCGACCATTTCGTTCCTAACGCACCACACCCCGTCATGATGTGCTCTGGGGACACTTTACCGACTCCCGTGTCGGAGTGGACATGATCGACCGTACCGGTGGGACGAGACTTACGTGCGTCCGAGGAGGCGCGCGGCGAAGTACTTGACGATTTGTACGACTCTGACGCCAACTTTCGGGGCACAACTCGAAGTAGAGTAGTTTTGCAGGGTCAGATGATCCTTCCATTCAAATCTAATTGATATTTGGGAACCAATGTTAGGCGCCAAAGTCGTCCAAATCGCCACGAACTTTGCCGCGCAATTTGCCGTGCGCGTCCTCGGACGCACACATGTACCCATACTCACCGTATCGAACCTCCTCCGAAACGGTGCGTGATCGCCTTTCAACCCTCGAGACGATGACGAATATACGCTAATGTGATACATAATACCAATATTAACGAAATGTAAAGTAACACTTCCAATTCCTATTTTGCAGAACTCAAGTTTTATAGGTTCTCCCAAAAGGGGTTGACGGGGTCAGGGGACGATCGATTCGTGTGATTCTGAGTGCGCGCGGCGAAATTCGCGATGATTCAAACAACTCTGGCGTCTATCATTGGTGCACAAACTTAAAGTAGAGTACTTTAGTAGGGTCGGGCAATCCTAGTAACCTACTTTACTTCAAATTTGGCCCAAATGATAAACGATGCAGTCGTCCAAATCGCACCGAATTTCGCCGCGCAATTTGTCGCGCGCACCCAGAATCGCACGAATCGCAACACACCCAGGGGGTCAGGTCGTAGAATGTTGTCTGTAGCAGTTCTGCGTTTGTAGCGTTTTATTTTACGGCAAAATAACTGTATGAGTCGAGAGTGGTCGTGAGAGTGGTCCTCTCATCAGGGGGACCTTTCAGTGATGTTTGAGTGGGGCTATTAGGACACATGGACTGCCTTGTGTTGTGTATAGGGGTCAAAAGTGATGAGCAGCACCTGCCGCATGTCAGAGAAATTTGACGAGACGACGGGTCGGGGGATTAGACGAGTGCTACAGAGCAGAAGGCATTGGAGAGCATCTTCCGCCGCCTGCGTGTGGCTGCGTAGCGGATTTAATTATCTAACTTCCATTTCTCGCCTTCAGCTTTGTACTGTTATTGAGTCGCTCTCACAAGGGAAGGATCCCAAGTCGAAGTGGCCATTTGAAATTAGACCAATACTGCTAGACGTATTTTTTGATGCTGATTTCAAATCTGCATTCAAAATCTGCCAAACGATT